TCCTCCTCCTCCTCCTTCCGCCTTCCCCTATCACCGTTGACAACTATTCCAGTTCCCAAGTTTTCTTCGATAGTTGTTGTCATCGAAATCATGTTACCCCATCTACTTCATCATCAACAGCAACCACCACCAACCCTCCGCCGCCACCACCAAAATTTCCATCATCATCATCATCATCAGCCTCAGCAGCATCATCATCTCCAACTCCATCATCATCATCTTCACCATCATCATCATCGCCATAATCATCATCATCATCATCATCATCATCTCCATCATCATCATCATCATCATCATCATCATCATCATCATCATCATCATCATCATCATCATCTCCATCATCATCTTCATCATCATCATCATCATCATCTCCATCATCATCATCATCATCATCACCTGTCAACGATCGAAAGGTGTGTTGTCCCAACTCTGCAAACCTCTCAAACTCCCTCACACTAACCCAGCAAGCACCAACTTGTCCTTGTAATCAGCAAGCCAAGTATCATCAGAGATCTTGCTGAAATTGCCAGGAGGCAGGGGAACAGGAGCAATCCTACTCATAACATCAGCGAAGCTTGTCAGTTCTCAATCTCAACATCATCACCTAAACAGATTGCTGAACCGATCTCTTCGCGCATTCGCATAATCCTTGCTCAACAACCCTATGGCTCTACATCCTGAAATTTGCCTCCCTCCGCTCATTGCAAACTTCCCCTCCTCCGACCCTCCGTCTTGCATTTCCCACCCGCATCCAATCGGACAGGTCGAGCTGCTGGTAAACTGCTGACAGTACTCGTCGTTTTCATATCTCACTGGGATGTCAACCCAGTCGGAATCAGCAAGATATTTGTTCCTGTCCGCCCATGCTGAGCAAGCTGATCAGATGGAGACGATCGGAGATGAGAACAAGACAAACATGTCGATGAAAAATCAAAAATGTACACCTTGGAATCAGCACAGGTGCGAGTACAAAGACAAGGGCAATCCAATGATATACAATGATGACAAACTGAACAGAAAACAGACTTTGAAACTCGAACCAGGTAACCTTTCTCCCTCTCCTGAAACAATATCTCACCCATGTTCATCCCATCGATCATACGGTGCAGATTCTCTACGCCGTGCTTCGGCATGCTCTTCAAGTCAAACCCTTCCATGACGTTGAGAGCGTTCGCCATCGTCACTCCTCCTGCCGACGGCGGGCTCATCCCCAACACCTGAGTAATGACATCAGGGAAGAGAGAGTGGGAGGAGGAGGAGGAGGACAGGTAAGAGGAGGAGGAGGAGGAGGAGGAGGACAAGCAGGAGGGAGAGACAACGAGGGGAAGAGACGATGACGAGAGAAAGGAAGAGAAAAGCAAAGACAACAGAAAGAAAAAACGCGAAAGAAGAGGAACAACAGCAATTTTTCAGCATCTGAAACGAATTTCTCCTTCTTCACACCTGATATCCTCGATAGGTTGTGTTAACCACTCTCCTCCAAACTGCCCTGCAACTCAAATGTAAGGTGAATGTGATATGATACACATTCAGAACATACTTGTAATTTGAAAGATCTTCCATCGTCAACAAACCAGCTCTGATAGTCTTTGGGGGACCGGAACTTCTCAACTGCACGAACCAACATGTAACTCGCTGCAATGATGGTGAAAGATGGTAATTGTACCGTATCAACAATGTCTCTTCCTATTTGACCTTGATAGAAAAGTTGACTCCCTTGCTTTCCCAGCGCCTCCAAGGTATTCGCAAGGTCTGGATTCTTGAAAATTTCTCCGTTCTGCCACGTTATGTTCAATCATATGCTTCCTCAATTCTTTGATATCACTGGGCGATCACAAAAGTAGCAACAACAATGAAAAAAGTCTTGTTTCGTCATCGTCATCGTCGTCGTCATCATCACCGTCATCATCACCACCACCATCATCATCATCATCATCATCATCATCATCATCATCATCACCACCACCATCATCATCATCACCACCATCATCATCATCATCATCATCATCATCATCATCATCATCACCACCACCATCATCATCATCATCATCATCATCATCATCATCATCATCAGAACCTCCTACATCATCTACATCTCAAGCATCATCATCTCAATGATCATCATATCCACCACCATCATCGTCATTGCCTCCGACCTTCAATTTCGGTGCGTCACATTTGCTATTGAGGAAGAGTTTACAGCTTGCTTCGTGATTTCTCAGTCTAGGAATAGCCGCCTGACATCACTCGTCAATGTAATCTCCTCCTCCTCCTCCTCCTCCTCCTCCTCCTCCTCCTCCTCCTCCTCCTC